GTGTTTGGGCTTTTATTGTGAAAAGTAAAAGCAGAAGAAGTGAAACTGCATTACACTGCCGTTCACAGTGTGGGAGACAATAAAGAATTCATAATCTTGTTTCAGACTACGAAGCCTCTGTGTTTTTATTTTATCATCTTAATGAGTATGGGCACGACTCTGACACAGCAGAGCAGCACTATAAATGAAACCAACCAATGAATTTTGGACTCTGCCAGCTGGTCACCAACTTTGTCAGAGTTTGGTGTTGGGTTTATGAGTGTTTGTTGCCTAACAGATGCCTAAATAAACTGGTTTTATATAGGTGGTTTGATGAGAGCTAAGGGACTCAACTATACACTCTATGCAGAAAAACCAAAGCAATGTGCTTAACAGGCTCAAAGTTGCATTAATTCTCAGTGGTTTGGTGATCAAGAACGATTTAAGAGGTGATAACAAAACAGCAGCAATAAACGACAAAAACAGGATGGAAACCAAAGTACCAATTATAAAAAGGTAAGTTAACGGTAAGATAACATTATCAAAGGGCAATGAATTCACTAAAATGTGACTAATAGCCAAATAAAAATGTTTGTTAAAAGACTGAAATCAAAACTATGTATAAAGCCAACAGACGTTCAGATGTAAGTAATCATTAAAAGGCCACAGTTCTCACTGACATTTCATTTTTCTTCTTTATTAATAGCTAAAGGTAATAAAGATGCATGTGTGTATCATACTGCAGCATTCACTTCCTGGAAATCACAGCCTGAAGATTGAAGATTTGTTATGTGTCCAGCAGTTGCACAGTGATTGAACACATGAAGAGCTGACTCCTGAGCTGAATTTCTTTCCCTCAGTAAACATAACACAGATGATGAGATGACATGTTAAAGCACGGATTAAAGAAGATAATAAATAACGGAAAGATAAAAAGCTTCTGGAGAAACTTCAGACACTCTACTTCACAACGCTTTGTCTGAAGTTTTTATTGTACAAAATTGATTTTTCTGGTATTCACATCCAGTTTAACCTTCTTGTTTCATCGTAGGATGGTGTAGCGTGACAGGCTGCATCATTCATTGTTTTATTCATACCCGAAAAATAATACACTGTACTTCAAAAACAACCCACATAGTCATAAAGACAGGAGGCTGTGATCACATAACTTCTGCACTGTAGCCTGTCTTCCCACATATGATGAGAGCAAAGGAGGAAGAGCAAAAAAGTGCGTGTAGGAAGTAGCAACCTCAGGGAATTAACCTACGAGACCAGAGTTCTTGTTTTGTGTAAAACCTTAAGTCAACATTGAGTTGTTTTGAGGTAAAAACTCATTAAAAAATGTCATAATATTGTATGTCTTCAGAAATCATGAAAAAACATCATTATTGCATTTGTTGTCAAAAATCATGAATAAAAGTCATTGTACAGTATGTCGTCACAAATGATGAAAAAAAAGTCAAAGTATAATATGTAGTCAGAAATCATGAAAAACCATCATACTGTAATATGTCTTTAAAAATCATGAAAAAAGGTAATAGCATAGTTTGTCCTCAAAAGTCATGAAAAAATGTATTGTATGTCATCAAAAATTATTAAAAAAAACATACCATACTATGACTGCTTTCATGACTTTTGACGACAAACTATACAATGAATTTTCATGATTTATAACGACATACTATACAATGACGTTTTTTGATGATTTATGATGACAAACTATACTATGAGGTTTTTTGATGATTTTTGATGATAATGTATACTATGAATTTTAATGATTTTTGACGACATAGTATACTATGACATTTTTTGATGATTTTTGACGAAAAAGTATACTATGAATTTTACTGATTTATAATGACATACTATACTATGACGTTTTTTTGATGATTTATGACGACAAACTATACTATGAATTTTAATGATTTATAATGACATACTATACTATGACATTTTTTGATGATTTTTGACGACATACTATACTATGACATTTTTTGATGATTTGTGACGACAAACTATACAATGACATTTTTTGATGATTTATGACGACATACTATGCTATGATGTTTTTTCATGATTTTTGACGACATACTATCATATCAATCATGAAAAAACATCATAAATCATAAAAAAACCCATAATATAGTATGTCGTCATAAATCATGAAAGAAAGTCATAGTATAGTATGTCGTCATAAATCATGAAAAAATGTCATAGTATAGTATGTGGTCATAAATTATGAAAAAAAACTGATAGTATAGTATGTCGTCATAAATTATGAAAAAAAACTGATAGTATAGTATGTCGTCAAAAATCATGAAAAAACGTCATATTATAGTATGTCGTCATGAATCATAAAAAAACCCATAATATAGTATGTCGTCATAAATCATGAAAAAACGTCATTGTATAGTATGTCGTCATAAATCATGAAAAAACGTCATAGTATAGTATGTCGTCATAAATTATGAAAAAAAACTGATAGTATACTATGTCGTCATAAATTATGAAAAAAAACTGATAGTATAATATGTCGTCATAAATCATGAAAAAACGTCATATTATAGTATGTCGTCATGAATCATAAAAAAACCCATAATATAGTATGTCGTCATAAATCATGAAAAAAAGTCATAGTATAGTATGTCGTCATAAATCATGAAAGAAAGTCATAGTATAGTATGTCGTCATAAATCATGAAAGAAAGTCATAGTATAGTATGTCGTCATAAATCATGAAAAACGTCATAGTATAGTATGTTGTCATAAATCATGAAAAAACGTCATAGTAGAGTCATAAAAAAACCCATGTTGTCATAAATCATGAAAAAAAGTCATAGTATAGTATGTTGTCATAAATTATGAAAAAACGTCATAGTATAGTATGTCGTCATAAATCATGAAAAAACTCATAGTATAGTATGTCGTCAAAAACCATGAATAAACCTTATAGTATGTGTCCAAATATGATACAAAAACCAAATCATGGTATGGTTTGTCGTCATAAACCATCAAAAAAAGTTGCAGTATATCATGGTGTCATGAGTCATGAAAAAAAGCAGAGTATAGGATGTTAAAAACAGTTCTTTTCTGCATCTCCAGTCACACAGCTACCAGCCAGTAATTTTAAATTCACCCTAGTTTTCCCCCCTCAGCACTCATCACACACCTCTTCAGGACAACTCAGTTCACATGTTCCTCATTACCCACAACTTATAAATATAGCCCAGCCTCACAGACACTCATTGCCAGATTGTTCTTTGATACTCATGCACATTTCTCCAGTACTTAATTCGGGAGTGATTTCCCGTCACTGACCCTGCCTGCCTGATTCCAGGTAAATGCAACAGCATTTTGTCCCTGACCACGAGACCTGCTTCCATGTCCTTGGTTCCCCTTTTTTCTGTGGCTGCTTGGCGTTACTATCCAATGCTGCGGTGAGTGTTCCAGCCCATGGTTTTTCTGTGGTCCAGAGATTTTCACCATGTTGCCACACCCGCCATTGTGCATGTGTCCTGTGAGTGTACCTGCTGGTGTCGCAACCCTTTGCATGGCCTAGACTTACCTTCAGTCTGTCTCTTACTGGTTCTTCTGCTTGGACCACGTACTTACCTGGTTCTGGATCTTCTGCCTCCACAAAAATGTCCCCTGTGTGCTCCTCCACAGTACCGTTGCCTGTTATTGAAGTAAACTGTGTTTGTTGTTGGGCTAATGCCACCACTCACTAGCCTGCCTCTCCGCCCTGTTCAGCCAGCCAAATGAGTCAGGCTGCCAAAAAATTTGTGGAGAGACTCTGCCAGGGTGTTTTATTGAATTGTGTGCTGTTTACCTGTCCTATCCTGTTCCTACTGGGATGTAACAGTAAATGTCATTATCAACTGTTTCTGGTTTCCTGTGTGTTGCTATGGGTCCGAATACCACTTAGGCTATTACACAAAAATCGTATGTCAAAAAAGTCCCATCATAAAAATGTCAAAACTCAAAGATTGTCATGAAAGTTATATTATAGTATGCCATGAAAAAAGTCATGAATTAGTCACAGTGTAGTATGTTATGTCAAAAAAGTCATAGTATAGTACGCAATGAAAATGTCAAAATGAAAATGTAAACAAAGTCATTATAAGGCATGTCATAAGTTGCAATCAAACATATGTCAAAAAAGTGTAGTTTCTTATTCAAAATATAGTATGTCATGAAAATGTCATAAAAAGGGTCTAAGTATGGTATGTTTTTAAAGAGTAAATAGTATAGTATATAACACAAAAGTCATGAAAAGTCAAAGTATAGGCCTAGTATTTCAAAGCAATATCAAAAGCCATAGTACCTTAATAAAATGTCAGAAAACGTCATACTATGGGATGTCATCAAAATGTCTAGAATAGTGTGCACTATAGTATGTCAAAAAATTCCATAAAAACTTTCAAATACCATAAAATATCATAAAAGAAAGTCATTGTATAGTTTGTCATAAAATGTCATAATATAGTGACATAGTCATAAAAAAGTCAAAAAATATCATAATAGTATGTCAATAAAATAAATCATTGTATAGAATTTTATTTTAGAATTTCATAATATAGTGTGTCATAAATATGTCACATAATATTTCATGAAAAACTTTTTAAAAAGTATGTTTTTTGTTATTAAAAATGTCAAAAAAGTTATAGTACAGTATAGTATGTCAAAAACAGTCTTATTCCTTTTTCCTATATCTTATTCCTCTGTACAATAGAGCTCCATCGTTGTCCAAAAAGTTTATTTAAGAAACTTTAATGTGCCTCATTGTTGCAGTGGGTGCGCTTTTTATTTTAAAGATGAATGACTCATCAGGAACCAATGGGTTTAGACCTGAGTCCCACAGACAAGTTTAAGGAATTCAGAAAGTTTTTCAAGACAGACTAACACATGAATGGTTTCGGTCTTTTCCTTTTACTTTTAAATATACCTGAATTCACATCACTTTGGTCCCGACATGAAATAAAACACCAAACACACTGTTTCATAAAAAAATTCACATGAACTTTATTCTTACAAGGCTTCATAAAATATTTGGTTCTGCACTTTTAATATATTTCTGTGTCATAAAGCAATGAATAAAATAATTTGAGCAAACATATCAAATTTATGTGTATTGAAAGCTCAAAGTAAAATAAACATTTGTGATTGTAATATCAGTTTTATAAGCAGTAAACCATGTACAATATTAGGGAAGTTCTCTGTGGTGCAGTCCTCTGTAATAAAGTGCTTTCATGCAGAGAATTTTGGGCAACATTACAAACAAAGGACTAGAATTGAGTGACCTCTCACTGTTCACTTCAAGTGGTTTACTCTAACATGTTTTGTTGTTTTAGCTTGGAGCTGGGCTGGGCTGCGGGTGGCTGTTCAGCATCGAGGGTTGCCCATTCGACAGAAACAGACAGTTCTGAAGAGCCGACACTGGCAGAAAGCACAAAAGTCACAGCACACATTGTTTGGAGATTTACAGCTTCCCCACAAGGGAATGCAGTTAGCAGGAGGAGGAGGACGCTTCTTCACACTTAATTTCTTCTGAAACAGAGAGCGACAGACAGACAGACAGACAGAGAGAGAGAGAGAGAGAGAGAGACGGTAACAATTCAGGAGATTGAACTCTTGGAACAACTGGCAAAAAGAAGACAAAGCAGATTAGATTACACAACAGTTTATGTTGCACGGAGGCCACTTGGAGAGCAGAGGGCAAATGGGAGGGGGATAAAAATGGACGACATCTGACCTTGTTCAGCTCGTTCAACTACTATGACTCAACCGCCAGCTGTAGGCTGAGAGCCGCACTCCCTTTTACAATCACAATTCACAATTTCAATCAGGTAAAGGCGTCTTCTGCAGATACTTGCAATACATTATCATTTTAAGGTCCTGTACCTTGTATACAAAGCCCTACATGGGCTGGGCCGAGCTACATTGCTAACTCCCTTTTTAACTATTTGCCTTCAAGAACACTGCAACCATCTGCTACTGGTTTGTTGGAGGTTCCCAGCAACAGCTGGAAGAAGATCAGGGGTGCAGCCTTTATCAATTACGCCCCAAAGCTATGGAACACACCACCTATAGATATCAGGGAAGCTAGCTCGCAAAGTATTTTTAATAGAAAGCTAAAGTGTATCACATGTGTGATTTTACTAGCCTGGAAATCCAGACCCAAATCTAGAAAGATTTAGGGTCTGGCCATGAGTAATGCAAATGGCCCAACTCGAGGGGCGGCACCAAGCATGCATTTGAAAATATCACTGCATGCAACTGGATAACATTACGACCAATCAGAACAATACACGGGGTGACGTATCCAGAGCTTAGCTACCAGCAGAGCTAACTGGTAGATTAGACTCTTGCCGTATCCGGTCGGCAAAACAGCAAAAACGTCCTTTTTGCAAAGGAAAGATTCGAGCGCTGTCTTCTGTTCCTCTTTTAGAGAAAAAACCAAGTCTAACTCGTTCATTGTAGCGGCCAAAGCCGTTTCAAACAACTGGTGTTCATCCGTGGGCATCTTGCAATGTTTACTGACTGATTCCGGACTTTGTCGTTGCAGCGCTGTCATCATCTGTTTAGCTCGCCTCTGGCCCGCCTATATCATATACACCGATGTGACTGGCGCAGCTCGGCTCCAAGGGCATGGGTAATGAGCATCATTACCCATGCCATACTCATTTCAGTGCAAATTCAAATTGTGCTCTCGCGAGAACCAAGATGGCTACAGATAAGCTGTCCATTCTGGGTCCATACCCACTTAGTATTCAGATGGCTCTACCATAACCCACGTGGGGCCTTCTTGGGTAGAACCACCCAATTGACAATTGGGCAATTGGCATAAGGCCATTATTGAACCCGTGGACAGTCCTATACAGGGCACATTTTTCGGTTAATTTACTAGCCACCAGAGTGTGGGGTCTGGGGGGACATATTGGCAGAAATGGAATATAATATCTACGTAATAAAACTGAATTTAAAATCCTTCTCCACACTTAAATGGCCAGGCTCTGTCATATCTTAGTGAGCTCATAGTATTTTATTATCCCACCAGAACACTGCTCTGAGAGTGCTGGGTCACTTGTGGTTCCTAAAGTCTCCAGAAGTCAAAAGGTAGCCAAAGCCTTCAGCTATCAGGCTCCTCTTCTGTGAAACCAGAACTGACAAGCCAAACCCTGAACCTAGATAGGACCATTCATGTTTTTGCACTGGCCACCATAGTCAGCAGCCCCTCTGAGACAAGAGTGTCAAAGAAAACCAGATTTTATTTAATGTGAATCTGGTTTATTCCATGTTTTTACCCAGTTCTTTTGATTTGGAGAGGAAGAGACCTCTGTGGGTGATTCAGCTCCCAGTAAAAACCTCTTTCACAATGAACTTCAGCTCGTTGCAATCTGCAATCACCACCGCAAGATACCACTAAATACCCCTAAATCTTATACCCTTAAGCAACCATAGTTTTACAAACATTATTGCAGCCTAACCATGGATGTATTTTCTTCCACCAAATGCCTAACAGAAATTGCACTGTGGGTGGTATACACCTCTGGAGTGACTATGGTTGCTGATTTGCTCTATCAGCCCTCCAAGGATCAATCTCACCAAGTCCAGTTCAGTTTTTCAGACAGATGGAATGACAGGATGACAGCAGGGATTTCCCTGAAAGTAAGTCAACAAGGGCGTGTTGAATGACTAATGAAACACAGCCGTGATCGGGACCATGTGACACAGCTGAGAGTTTAGAGGGAGCTAGTAAGTGTATCTTTTGAGTTAAATTTATTCGATTTACTTGTACTGTGTATCATCTAATAATGCATGTTGCAATAGCTACGACATGATTTCTGAATAAATTGTCATCATAAACAGTCAAAAACATTTCTTTTTTGGAAATACCTTTTTTTGTTTCTTTGTCTTCTTGTTCTTCCTCAACGATTTCGGCAACTCTGAAAGAAAACATTCAAAAATAAAGATGCTTTAAGAACTTTTTACAAGAGAAAAAACATGTATCATCTGCATACAGGATGAGAAATGGGAGAGATTCTGTTTGACATCCCAAAAGCCTGTTTCAGAGTGCATCAGTTGCACAGCATCCAATCTCACAAACACAGTTGTTTAAGTTTGACTTTATATTAATTAATTTGTGGTGGAGGTTCAGTTAACCCGGCACAGTTTACATTGTACCAAAAAATGCAAGATAGCTAGTGACCTAACTAGAGCAGTGTTCCCAAAAGTTATGGTTGTAACCTAAAATGAGACACGAACCCCTTTTTGTGGTTGCCACTGGGCAGAGTAAAATGAATTACAATGGCAGCATATGTTAATTAATTCTCCTAGAAGAAGAGATAGGAGAAGAGCGTTGTTGAGAAAATTATCCTACCTGTTAAGCTAAATGAACTGTTTAGAAACCCCCTTGGATCAGCCGTTTGTGATAAACTGAAGGCGAATAAGTGTATAATGCAAAATCACGTTACTTGCTTCATTCACGCTGTTTAATTCCTGTATTTTGTATCATTTGTGTTGCATGCATCGCACCGCCCCTTAAGAATTCAGGTCTAATCAGGTTTTACATTGACTTTACATGTAATTTACTCGCACCAATTGTTTTATTCGTGCCCAGTGTGAACACAACATAAGAGATGTGTGGTTCTCACAGGACAGCCGAGCTACAAATATCATGATTTTATAAAATATGATACCCGGCTGTACATTAAAGCACCCAATAGTATATAAAGGAGTTAAAATAAGCACAACTTTAATAGTCTACTGCAGCAAAATGACACATATTAATCCAGAAACATCAGATAGAACAGTAAAACATTGACAGAGAAAGTTTTGTTATGCAATGAATACTTCTACTTTAAGTACATTTTGCTAATAATATTACCAAAGTTTTTGAATGCAGGACTTTTACCTCTAATTAAGTATTTTTAGGACAAGAATACTTCTTCCTTTTCTCACTCTCTGCTACAATTATGTTATATACGGCCTGGACCAGTGGCTCTCAAATGGTGTGCCACTGCACATTGGTGTGCCATGATGCCAATCCAGATATGCCGTGGGATTTTGCGATAAACACACATTATTATCGCAATATTCAACTGAGCCTACACAAAAACTTAAGAACTAATTTTTAATTGACTGTATCAGTATGCTGTGTGCACCCATTTCCTTTACTGAGAACCTATTTGTCACCATTTGCATGTGAGTGGGACAATGCTTTATTGTACGGAGCAATTTACAACAAAGCACCAGTGAATACGACCTTCCGCCTAAATAAAAGAGAAAAACTGTTAGTAGACAGTATCACGAAAACTACTTGTCAATTTTTTTTCTTATCTTTATTGTCTTTGATCGTGATAAGTGTGATAATAATAGAAACTAATATGCACAGATCTAAATACAGCAACATTCTGTCCCTGAATTGCAGGTTTGTTCCTAACAATGACTATTTTCAACATTGTTTTGACAGTGTAAGAATGAGTACCATGTGTCATATGTTTGTATGAGTGAAGTTTGTGTGTTCCAGACAAATGTCTGCAAGTGTGACTAATGTTAATGTGGTGACAAGCGAGAGGGGTCTTTTTTTTTATGATAATATCCTGTCTGTCATCTATTCAGAGGGAATTTTTCACACATATTTACAATTCATATACATTTTAAATTCATGGTTTTTATCAGTAGTTTACAAATCTAGATGTTATGGAAATTCATGGTGTATTTTGTAAGTTTGGGAGGACAGGGAGACACTAAATTTCTCTTTTAGGTGTTGAGCTGAAAAAGTCTGGGAACCCCTGAACTACAGAAGCTAAACAGTGGCATTATTTGGAGAACTTTCTGGTTTGGTATCAATATCCCCAGCCTTTAAAGAAAAAAAGCTACCACTTATTAAATTCTGCGTCTATCAGCTGGTGTGGCTTGCAGCCTCGAGCATTTGTGTCTCATCAGGAAACATCAGTATCACCAGTTTGATATGCACATGACATAAATTATAAAAATTGGCAACACTTACATATTACTATTCATTCTGGACTGTGACCTTAGTGATAAAGTGAAACACTACAGTTTAAAATTGCAAACTCACCTACAATAACAACAGGAGGTGGGCCTGTGTCTAGGCTTTGAGAAAGAGCATTGGATACAAGGACCTTATTGGTGGCGAGTCTCTCATCAGGGATCATGTGGGCTGAGGTGAGGAGGTACTCTGTCGCAGCAAGTAAAAGGCAGCCAAGCAGCAGGAAGGCATGCATCTTTATCTGGAACGAAAATTACAACAGTGGATATTTAGAATCAGTTTGAGCAAGCAAGAAACTGAATTCAAAAACATAAAGTACGGGAAGGTCTGTTTTTTAATTTAACTTGAGGTATATTAACATTTCTTAAATCAGCAAGTGAGTTCCAATCATCAACTTTGCATCAGGTTTGATCACTGGTGGGAAATCTTTTCTACCCACAGGCAAAAGAACAGCTGATCAGTCACTTTGGTCCAGACTGAAATATACAATACTTTTCATTAGCCTGCTCACTATGTCTTGATACATCATATTGTTTGTCTGTAGCATCATGTGTCCATGAATGGGATATCATTGTCCAACTGCCAGAAAAAAGGCATTGTACATTTCTGGAAACCATGGATACATTATATTTGTGCTTTACTTGGCCAAATCATACAAAATAATAAAGTAGCCTGACATAATTATGCAGATGACACGCATATATACGTATCACTTTCACCAGGTGAATATGGACCCATAGAATGTCTGTGTCACTGTGTTGAGCAAATCAGTGATTAGATGCATCAGTACTCAACAGAGATAGTACTGACATAATTGCCTTCAAGCCACGGAAAGAAAGACAGAGTGTCAGCTCTCACCTTGAATCCCTCTCGCTTATAACTAATAGTCACGCAAGAAGCCTTGGTGTTATCCTAGGCTTGGATTTAAATTCCCATGGCCACATCAAATCAGTAATGTCATTTGCCTATTACCATTTATAAAACATTGCCAGAGGCAGATTCTAGTTCTAAAATCCATAGCTACCGGTCACTCAGAGAATTGATTTAAAAATGTTGCTGCCTGTGCATAAATCACTCTGTGGCTCACTGCCCAAATATATCTTTGACATGCTTGTGATATATGAAGGTTCTAGGACCCTGAGGGCATCTCGGGCCGGCCCACTGACCATCCCAAGAGTCAGACCAAAACATGGTGAAGCAGCATTTTGTTATCACGCAGCACAAACCTGGAATAACCTCCCAGATGTTAGACAGTCCCAACTCTGAACAGTTTTAAGTCAAGGCTAAAAACATTCCTCTGTACACTGCCTGCTCCACCCTGTAATGCCTGCAACCTCAATTCAAAACTCAACTTTAAATCATTTTAAATAACATTTTTATCTTTGGACCTCGTATCTGCATTTTGGCTATTTTTAATGGTGTTTTTTGTTAAATTGTAAATCATTTAGTAATTAATTTGACCTTTTTATATATTTTTTCTCTTCACTCTTTCACTGTAAATCTGAAAGAAAACTTTGTGTTTCAATGTCACTGTGGTTTACGTGTGGTTAAGTTTAGGTACAAAACCCACTTGTTTATGGTTAGGAAAAGATCATGTTTTGGATTAAAATACCTACTTTACATGGTGCTTTCCCAGCAGGAAACATTGCCATGTCTCAGTAAAAAACAACCGCTTTTTGTTGCTGTGTCCCCACTGGAAAACAGCAACAGGACACTAACAAAGCACCCACGTTTGGTGGCTAAAAAGCTGCTGTAAACAGCCATGAGTCACTAAAACACATCCATATTTGTTGTTTGTTGGTCTCAAACAGTGGTCTGCAGCTTGGCATGCGTATGATCTCGGTGTCACACCTTCTACCATCGCTTCCACCTACAGATGACAAAGTCAACTTGTATACTACGTCACTTTAGAAACATTGGTATGATATGTACAAATATAACGTATCCATAGTTTGCATAAAGGATGACTTCTTCAGGACTCTGAGTCACCTGCGTGTCTCTCTGCTCACCGCTCCTCAGCATTACATCAGTAATATATTTGCCTGGAGTTTATGAAGCAGATTTATAGCGACTGTCTGCTGATTCTTGAATTGTTCCAGTGTGTGTTGTCATCTGTAAAATCCACTCGATAAATTCCAGGTGGTGTTTTATTTAAACAATAACCAGTCCCTGATGCTTCTTTGCAAATCTGACACAATACAGGTCAGTTCCTGCTGCGGATAACACTGTGGTCGCGTTTTACATTCAGTGTTGAGAATAAAAATGAGAAAACCCCTGCACTTTCAAGCACTTCATTCAACTAGCATGTCGTTAATTTGATGAACATTGGGCTTTTTTTATTCTCGCTTCAACTTGTACTTCCTCCAACGTACGACAGGTATGTTGGAGGAAGTACAAGATAAAATGTGCAGAAACTACAATTTTTCGAGGACATTTGTCATTTTAAATTGAGAAGCAGAGTGCACATTGACCTAAAAACTGAGGTACTTACAAACTTTTTCTTGTTTTACAATATATCAATGCCGTTTAAAAGTGCAATCTGCAAAATGAGCACACTTTATGAGTGGGGCTTTGCATTTGTTGCTGATCAAAGCCATACACCTCTGAGTTACGTCATTTGAAAACTGGAGGTTTTGGATTTAAAAAGCTACATTCAGAAATGTTTTCCAGCAATAGAGCTCCAACTGAAAACTGAACTGGCCACAGAGGGTCAGTACTGCACAAAGTAACACAATGCTTTCATTTAATTACCAGAGTGTAGATGTAATTCTGAAGTATACATCATGTCCCGCACAGCAATTGTCAGATAAATAGACAACCTAAAATAATACAGACAACAACAACAACAACAACAACAACGGCACCAAACAGGGCACCTTTCCATTATCATAGACAGACCACACATCATGAGGCCTCTGAAACATCTTGGGGTGGCAAATTAAAACCTCAGTTCCACCATGTTGATTTAGTTGAAAACGATGTCAATATTAAGAGTTCAGGAATTGCATACTGATATATTTTGGTTTCTTATTTCAGAACTATTATTACTAATTATTTGATCTGCACAGACTAATACCAGTACAGTTACAATTTAACTTCCACAGCAATCCTGTTTAAATTAGGGGTGGGGGAAAATCAATACAGCACAGTATCATGATGTTTTGCACAGTACTGATACATGGACGTCAAGTTTCTTTTGTTTTAATGATATAAATGATTAATACTGCAAGTACAAATGAAACATTTGCTGACCTACTAGAATTTAAAAATCTATTGGAACACTATTATTACACTGGAATTTCTCAATTGTAGGATCAATAAAGGTGTATCTTATCTTATCTTATCTTATTGCTTTGTAGTCTAGTAGATAGAATTTGCTGCAATAAAAATGACTGAAGTGACAAACTTTGTATTTAAAACTTTATCTAATTAGACAAAACAGATGTTGACAATTTCTTTTTCCTTTGGGGACGCAAGTTACAGTTGAAAAAAGGTCATAAATTGCAAAATATCACAATATCTGTTAACGCAATACTGCATAGCGTGATGTATAAAATTGCAATAATATTGTATTGTGACCAAAGTGTCGTGATGACTGAAAACTGTGAGGCTGCAGTGTTTGCACTGTCTGAGGAAACTGTCCTATTTTTATGTAGACTAAACCATCATGACCTTATTTTATCAAGCTTTTATTGAATCCATTTTATCCTTTTCCTTGGTGTCATGGTTCGGAGGCCTCTCTGTTAAGAATAAGAACTCTTTAAATCAAATTGTGAAATGGTTTAGTAAGCTCATTGGCGAGTCCCAGCTGAACCCCTCTTCCCTCTATACCAAACAGTTACAGCAGATAGCCACGACCATTTTAAATGACAGTTTGCATCCTCTGGACAGAGAGTTCCAGCTTCTTCCCTCTGGACGGAGGTTTTTAGTCCCAAGTTGTAGAACTAAATGATACAAAAACAGCTTTGTTCCAGCTGCAATCACACAGGTAAACAAGCTGTAGGATCTTGCACAAGTCAGTCACTTTGGAGCATGTATCTTATTTTTTATTTATTGATTGATTTTATCTCATTGTTTTATTCTTATTCTATTGAACTGTTTTCATTCCTTTAACCTATGTCTTGTAGGGAATTTTGCTCCTGGCGTTTTTTAATTATTTGCTTTTATTTCATGGATTGCAGCACTTTCTGTCGTTTTAAATTTCTTTCTTGTATTCTGTGTTCTATGTTTTGTTTTGATTGTTCAAACTGTGATGGATGTTTTGACTCTCGACTGCAAAACTAGTTTACCCTTGGGTATCAATAAAGTAACCTGAACCTGAACCTGAACCTGTGATATTATCATATCGTGGGGCCTCTGGTGATTCCCTCCTCTAGTTTTAATGTGTTACGTTATCTATACATGTTTGGCGATTCACTGTTCTTCAAATAGGCTTGCTGTCCTTTTCTTTAAAAAGACAAATATATGACTTTAATTTTAAGGATTACATACAAGCCTTCTCAAGCTTAGGGGAGGCTGGTGGGTACCCACAGAACACATTTTAAATCAGATATTTTGAGGTGAGAGTTTAAGGGACCCCTTTGAAAATGCTGGTTGTTCCCTGACCAAAATTTGGCGAAATTTGGAGTGTTATTTAGCCCCTTTGCCGACAAGCTGCACTGAAACTGCTGGTATTAATGGATGCCTTCTGTTGTGTAGTTTCACAGGATACCACTACCACTACCTGGCTTAAAAATAAGGGCGGGGGACAGCAATTGTATCAGCAGCACCACTGTTTTTAAATAAAGAAAGATTGCATGGACTGAATATGCTTTGCCTGTTTCATTAGTTCACGGTGAAGTTTTACCAATGCGTTTATTTCTGAGATATTATGGAAACGGTGTTAAATTATTTTCTTTTATATTTTAAAAGGCAAAAATAAGGAACATTTGTGAACCATGTATTTATCCCCTGAAGGGACTTGACATGTTTATTCATTTTTTATCCACGACAGCTTTGGAATCAATTGTAACAGATTAGAATCTAAGACGAACACAGTCAGTGAAACAGGAAACAACAAAACTCTTTACAGACACCTCTAAAGCCCGCGGGGGGTTCAAGTGTTTGATACTCGAAAGATACATTTCGGACAAAGAGCTCCCTAAGCATTAAGCAGTCCCTTTGAAAGCAGTGGAAGCATCCAGCAAGAATTCCAAACACAGTGTATATGTTAAATAGCACCTCAAACCACCTTGATACATC